GATCTCCACTCCGCACTCCCCCCATCATTCACTATGGTAAGATTTTTTGTTCTGATGATGCCTCACACCTGATCCCTTCGACACCTCGTGTGTACCACAGTTTTTTATCCATTTGGCCGTTGATGTAAATTTGGATTGTTTCCAGCTCCTTGTAATTGTGGACTACACTGCAATGAACATTGGAGCACAGATGTCTGGCCGTGGTTTGTTTCTTGCCTCTTCTGGGTATATGCCCAGCAGGGGGATTGCTGAGTCATATGGGAGGTCAATTTCCATCTATTTTAGATATTGCCAAATTGATTTTCATAATGGCTGTATATACCTACATGTCCACCAGCAGTGGACAAGAGTTCCTTTCTCTCCACAGCCCTTCCGGCACTTGTTACTTTCTGGTTTTTTTAATTGGGCTCTCTTGGAGGCTGTTAGGTAGTATCTCATAGTTGTTTTAATTTGCATTTCTCTTATGGCTAATGATCAGGAACATTCTTTTATACGTTTATTAGCCATTCGGATTTCTGCCTTAAAGGGAATTTTTACTGCAAGGCTGGGAGCTGTTACATTTGGGATTCTAGACAAATTAATCTTAAGTTATGTTACCTTTTTAATATTTTGACAACCAGCACACTCTTTCACCCTATCATAATGAAGATGAGTTTTCAAATGCTTTTTATGCATCTATTGAGATGATTTCCATTCTTCTTAGCTTGTCAATGTGAATAATATTGCTTTTAAATGTTTATATAATAAATATGAAATACAATATTATATTTAACTAAATAGCATACTCATCAGCAAGTTGTCTTCCAGGATTTTTCTTATTCTTCTGATTATTTTTTCAATTTAAGGAGTTCGGGCAGCACATTGTTGGAAAAGCTTGGCTGCTGTACTTGCTGAATTAAGAATTGTGTTATTCTGGTAGACCCATGACTGACATTGTCAGTGAATATTATTCTAAGTTTACCTGACCACCAACTCCCATTATTTGTGCAAATTACATCTGCTCATGTAAGGATTTATTCTGTACAACTGAATAATCAAAGTATTGCGATATGTAGTTAGACTACACTGATTCAATCTCCCTCTCTCTATAGTGTTTTTAAAATTAGTATCATAGGCTAATCAGTGACACTATAAACAGAAAATCTATGCTCCAGGGAGATGATCGATAAGATTCTCTACCATAAATTAGCAAGGATGTCTCTAAAGTCAGCCAGAAGCAGATAAAAACCATAGATTCAGGAATGGACTTTTGGGCTTGCCCTTAATCCTAGCTCCAATCTAAGAACAATTAGTTCTTTACGGCATGGCTGTTTGGTACTCACCCTCATGAAGGAAACACAGAAGATATGTGTGCTACAGCAAAGTGTGGTGAACAAATTAGATGGTGCCTGGCTATCAGATAGAATAGTGTCTTGGGTCTTAAAAGTTTCTTTCCAAACAAGCAACCATCTAAGTGAGACGGCTACTAAGTCTCCATGGAAAAGCACACCAACAGCTGTGATCCAAGGATTGCAAATTAGATAATCCAAATCCAAGAGAGGAAATAGTATCAGAGCTTAAATTGTGAGATTCTGGTGTACAGAAGGCTATATATTTGCAGGACCTACACAGGGAATAAGCCTCCTGTAATTTCCCTCTAATATAATAGAGGGACAGGACTAACCAGGTGATCAGAGTGTATTGAGAGACCACTATAGAGGATTAAAATGATCAGTCTGACTTGAACGGTTCAAACCTTGTCACTTGACCTCCCTCCTGATACACTTTGGGCTTGATCTTTTTAACATTTTTAACATTTTCTGTGGGTTTTGTTTTGGGGTGCTTTTTTTTTTTCATTTTTGGGGTTATCCCTGCTGTGTTTTGTCATTGTTTGGTAGCCTTCTTGAACCTTTGTTATGGGTTTCTTTGTGTTTCAGTATACAAAACCCAGGAGATGTGAACCTATAGAGATGGCAATAGAATAAGGGTTCTTGAGGGGCATGGTGGGGGAGGTGGGGGTAAGGAGGAGCTGATATCAAGGAGGAAGAAAATGCTTTGAAACTGATTTGGATACCAATTGTAAAATACTGCTTCATGTGATTAAACGATGGAATAGTATGTAGTCTGGATTAGCTCCTAATAAAATGGTTTGGAAAAGAAAAATCTTGGCTGCCTGCCGGTTGGAGCCCATCAGCTGCTCCCTGGGAGAAAGACATGGCCGTCTATTTCCCTAAAGATTTACTTCCTCAGAAACCTGACAGGGCAGTTCTACTCTAACTCCATGACAATGAGTTTGGGTTTTTGGTTTTAAAAGTACTGTTAATGTTATTAGTTAGGTACAATACTAGCAAGATGGTTATAAAAATTAAAATACTTATTTGTTGCAGACACACATTAAAATGTTCATAAGTGAAAAGAAATAGGATGCCTGGGATTTGGTTTAAAATAGCTTTAAAAAACAAAAATAGAAACGAGAGCAGATTAGCCATGATTTGGCTAATACTGATAACTTAAAATGGAACGATGGATCGATCCATAGAGGCTCACTCTCCTATTGGCTTTACTTTTGTGTTTGAAATGTTTCATAATAGAAACAATTTAAAAAGAAGAAATATAAATATTATCTTTAACTTTTAGCTAGGTCTTAAGTGTATAGGGAGTAATGTGAGACAGAAGAGAGATACACCTGGAGACAGAGTCTGGTTCTTAAAGGGTATGGGCTGCTAAACTCTCAAATACGCCATGGAAGCAACTATTAGCATAGAAAAGCAATGAGGCTGGATCATCCTACTTGGTCTAGAAACCATGCTGAGTAAGAAATATTTGAAAGACAAGGGCATGTTTAGCATTATAGGGGCAAGATTTAAGAATGGCTGGACTGATGTCCAACACTGCAGGCATGAGAAACCAGTAGCTGAGTATGTTGTCTGGTTGAGCAGGGCAGACTGAGATCCAATGATAGGATTCCTCCTGCTGCAAGCTAATTCACAACACAGTGGGCAACCTTGAAAGGATGGTTCAGGCAGCTCTGGTAGGGCACCAGTAGATTCCATATGCAGGTTCTATAGAGTCATCTGACTTCTCTAATGTAGTCCTGCTTTTGTTTGAAAGGGGAATGTGCCAATTTGCCAATGTATCTCTCTTACCTCTTCTTAGGGAACTCATCTTTTCTTAGTTTCATCTTAGCTAATATTTACTGAGTGCCATTGTACTATGTACTGTTCAAAAGGGAAAATTGCCTTGTGTCCCTTAAGATGAATTAGAAATTATCCACCTGGCTGCAGAAAAAAATCTATCTTTGGGCCTCCATCTGCCCTGTTCAACCCAACAAAAAACTCAGCTTCTGCTCTCTCACACCTGCAGCGTTGAACATCACTTCATAGAAAGTGCTCAGTTCATGGAAGAAACACACCAGCCAGTGTGATCAAAGGATTATTAATAAAATCTAAAATAAGATTGTATTAGAACTTAAATTGAAGCACCCAGGTTTCAGAATGCTATGAATGATAGTGAAAGCCCAAAGTCCATTTACAGCACCCCACATGGACTAAGCCTCCATTGAAGGATGTGATTAGTCTTGTCCCTAGACAAGGTGCATTGAAAAGTAAATTAGTATAGATATAGTTGGGTTAAAATTTAACTTCTTACCATTTGTTTACCCTTTTGACCCATTTTTAACTTGTTCTAGTTTTTATTACTTTCTGCTATGTTTTGAATCGGGCTTTTCTGTGTCTTATGCTGTTATTGTGTTTTAATGGTTTTCTTCATATGAAACTCAGAATAGCGACAACTATAGCTTTCTTAGGGTTATGACACGAGAAGTTGGGTGGAAATGAGGAGCTAATAGTAATGGATACAAGAGTGAAGAAAGTGTTCTACAATTAATTGCAGTGATGAAAGCACAGTTCTTTTGAATATAGTTAAACCACTGACTTGAATGATGTGTGCATTATATGGCAATAAAACCATAAAAAATGCTCAGTTCAATGATTGCTGAATAAAGTATTACTGAAGGAACAATGACAATTAAGCACTACTGAGCAGCAAAGAGGTTCTTTGCAGATGGTCCTCTCGTAAAGTCAATCAGCCATTACTCCTCCCAGCGAATTAGTGAGGAAGAACTGGGACAGCAGGTGAGCAGAAATAATAATATATAACATAAAAATAAATTCTTTGATTGGGATTTGGAAAGAGCTCTGAAAATCCATGTTTGAGTCCTACCTGGGATGCATGGAGAAGTTGGTTGTTAATCTCAGATGCCCTGCATAAGGTTAAGAGTGAAAAGCAAACCATCGGTAATTGCTATCCATGTTACTGATCCCGGAGGTACTGTGTGATTGGGAAGTGGAAAGCTGGCATGGTAGGAAATATTCTTGTACTTTAGTCTATAGCGTGATTTTGTTTTTCAGCATCACTAATCCAGACGGGTCACCTGGCTAGATTGCAGAAGGTGGACTTGAGCTATAATGACAGCATCCATGACGCAGGATGGACCGTCTTCTGCCAGAGTGTGCAGTTCCTCACAGAGCTAACTGAGCTGGATATTAGCCTTCGGCCATCAAATTTCCGGGATTGTGGACAATGGTTTGGACCCCTGTTATGCGCCATGGCCAAACTTCCTGAAGTCGCTGAGATAGGAATGCAGAGATGGGTTCTCTCAGCTTTGCAGAAAGAGGAGCTTGAATGCTTCAGCCAGGAAGAGAAAAGAATCATTCGCTTTGACCATGGTGGATTTCAGTAGTTTGTTTCCCGAGTCTAACAGCTGTAAACCACTCTCCAAAGGAGGAAACGAATATGAATGACTCCCAGCACTATTAACTACCAAATTAGGGGCTGTTTAGAGAGACCTGAGCCTGGATGATGAGCCAAGGATGGCATGTTGTATGAAATTTACTTGTCGGGAAGCATACTTAGTTCACTTAATGGTTAGAAGCCCTGCCAAAAATGTTTAAATTCTAGTAACTTTTTCTTGCTCTGAAATTTTCTGCCTCATTTTTTCCTAAATGCTAACAGTTCTAAATGTAAGGGTGTGTGTATGTGTCTGAGAATTTTCTAATGTAAAATGTGCTGGTGAGTAACAGTCTCGTGTTATTTTGATGACTATTACATATGGTCTACTTATATTTTTTATCAGAGTGTGTGACCTTGAGAGGTGTCTTGCTGATCCATTTTATAATAATGACTGGTGCCTTTTTTCCCTCAGGCATAAACCATAAACACTAATAGTAGTAGCTGGCATCTAAGTCTTATTTGAATGTGGTCAGAAGTTCAAAAACCAGTGCCCAGGCAACATTTGGTTAAAACAAAAATGAGTTGCACAGTGTAAGATATGACAAAATAATAATTTATAAATTATCAAGGATTCATGAGGGAGGGGGAGCGAGGAGGGAGGGGAAAAATGAGGAGCTGATGCCAGGGGCATAAGTGGAGAGCAAATGTTTTGAGAATGATGAGGGCAATGAGTGTACAAATGTGCTTTACACAATTGAAGTATGTATGGATTGTAAAATGATTTTTTTTTAAAGTTAGAAACAAGCAAATAACATTGCCCTCACAGCGACCCTATATTATAGAACCGTTCCACGGAGCTTCTAACACGTTCATCTTTACAGAAGCAGACTTCTACCTGTCTCCCATAGCTGGCTGGTGGAATCAAACTAGTGGGCTTAAGCTACATAATACTTTAGTGATTTACACGTTCTTCTCAAACAAAATTGTTAGATAGATAGATAGATAGACGATAGATAAAATAAGCATTATATTCAGTGATCTTCATAAGAATAAAACAAAACAAAAAACCCATTACCATAGAATCAGTTCCGACACACAGAGTCCCTATAGGGTGGGGTAGAACTGCTCCGTGCGTTTCCAACACTAACTCTTCACAGGCCTAGGAAGCCTCCACTTTCTCTTGAGGAGCAGCTGGTGGTTTGGAACTGCTGACCTTGCAGTTAACAGCCACTAGAAATCACTTAGTCTGCCCTTCCTCCCTTCCCCACTCGGCCTCCCTTTCTTCTTGGTGGTAATAAATCATTTTCACGTTCAGATTTTCCACCTCCTGCTTTGCTACAGATTTGGTGGTGGTTGTGGGTAGTGTCTGGCTGGTGTTTTCCCGCCTTTCTTACCTGAGAAAATGCTTCTATTGATTCCAATATAATGTATGGTCCATGAACATTTTTCCTTCTGTCACCTTTTCTGAACACAATCCTATAAGCTTTTTGATAAAATCTGTGTGCATGTTTTTTTTTTTAAATGAAAGCTTTTATTATAAAGACAAATTGTTACTATTACCTCTGGGTAATAGAATTTTCTTTTGCATGGAGTGCTCTATAGTAAATTATTTAGGTCATTAATTAAAATTTGTGTGTTGCCTCTAAGTGATTTTTGACATATTTTTGTTTCCTTCGCAAGACCAGGAAGATCAGTATATGAGCTAAACAGGTTCAGCTCCAGGTGTGCAGGGCACCTAAGGACCATAGTCTCCGAGCTCTACCAGTTTCTATCACACCAGTAAGCCATGTATTTGTTAGGACCTTGGAACTGGTTCCACACTTTTCTCCTACTCCATGCAGGATCTTACTTTTTTTAATTCGAGAAATTCTAAATTTATTCCTGGCAAGCACTTGCAGAAGGAAAACAGCCAGAGTTTTCCTCTGAGCTGCTTCAGAGTTCAGTGCTGACCCAGCAAGTTCATATGTGACAAGAAACAGGTTTGTTACAAGGCTTACAGGAAGAGATGAGCGGGTTCTTACAAAGTCACAGGATATAGTTGGTGCTCTAAGGAGGCAGGTCTTACAATGATCATTAGGATATGATGACAGTGTGAATGCAGTGGCCATTAGACTACCCTCCCCTGAAGCTTCATGCACCCATATTTACCGAAATTGGGGTGATCCTTTGTCTCTGATGCTACTTATCATAATGACTTTGTTAACCTCCTTCCCAAATTGGAACATCCCTGCTGATTAAGTTTAAAAGCAATATTAACAAACTAAATCTTAAAATCTGTTATATTTCTAATATCGAATAATAGCAGGCTAACTCTTCCACTTCCCTGTATCACTTCTCCACTCTTCATCTAAATTATCTCATTATCTATGAGATAGGTTTAAGACAATCCACCCTTGGCTAATGATCAGAAGGAGCTCAGTAGAGATGCGATTTATGTGGGGGACTCTGCGAATGGATTTTGTGCCCTGCTGTCATAGCCTTCCAAAGTACTCAGAATTTAAACTCAAATACCATTCTTCCCTCTGATTATGGAGTGTACTATTAATAATCCTTTGACCACACCGGCTGGTGTGCGCTTTCTGGTGGACTTAGCTGGCACTTCACTTAGATGGCTGCTTGTTTTAAGACAAGCCTTGAGGACCCCAGACACTAGTTTTTCTGGGAGCTGGGAACCACCTGATTCTTCACTACACTTTGCCATGCATTCATCTCTTCAGTGATTGATGGATGAGGGCTTGAGTCCTGAGTATGACCACATCATAAGAACAACGTGTTCTTTATCTGAGGCTTCCTATCCAGGATCTACCATTGTGATCCCTTTCAGATATTGTGATCCCTAGCCAGATATTGTTGTTAGAGGCCACTGAGTCAGCTCCAACCAAACCATAATGGACCCACGCACAAGAGAACGAAACCCTGCTCCACCCAGCACCAACCTCACAGTTGTTCCTGTCCCTGAGCCCACGGATGCAGCCACTGTTTCGATCCATCTCATGGACGGTCTTTCTCTGTTTCACCACCCTTCCACTTTACCACACATGACGTCTTTCTCCAGGGACTGGTCTCTCTTGATAACAAGTCCTAAGTATGTAAGATGAAGTCTTGCACTCCTTGCCTCGAAAAGGAGTATTCTGGCCTCACTTCTTCCAATACAGATGGGTTTGTCCTTTTAGCAGTCCTTAGTACTTTCAATATTCTTCTTCAGCACCACGCTTCAAAGGTATTGATTCTTCTACAGTCTTGCTTATTCAATGTCCAACTTTCACAAGCACATGATCCAATGGAGAGTACCATGGCTTGGGTCAGGCACATTTTAGTCCTCAAAGTAACACCCTTGCTTTTCAATACTCTGAAGAGGTCTTGTGCAGCAGATGTACATAATGCAATACATCTTTTGAGCTCTGGACTGCTGCTTTCATGAGTATTGATTGTAGATCCAAGGAAGACAAAATCCTTGACAAGTTCAACCTTTTCTGCATTTATCAGGATGCTACCTATTAGTCCAGTTGTGAGGATTTTGGTCTTCTTTACCGTTGTAATCCCTCCTGAAGGCTGCGATCCCTGGTCTTCATCAGCAAGCGCTTCAAGTCCTCCTACTTTCAGCTAGCAAGATGGTGTCATCTGTATATCACAGGTTGTTAATACACCTTCCTCCAATCCTGATGCCCCCCTTTTCTTCATATAATCTAGCTTCTCTGATGATTTGCTCAGCATATAGACTGTACAAGAATAGTGAAAGGATACAACTCTGATGCACACCTTTCCTGATTTGAAACCATGCAGTATTCCCTTGCCTCTTGATCCATATACAGGGTCAGAATGAGCACAATGAAGTGTTTTGGAATTCCAATTCTTATCAAGATTTTCTATAATTCACTATGGTCCACACAGTCGAATGCCTTTGCATAGTCAATGAAACACAAGTAAGCATCTTTCTGGCATCCTCTGCTTTGAGCCAAGATCCATTTGACTGAATCCACCCTGAACTTTTGGCAGTTCCCTGTCAATGTGGCCTGCTGCAACCACTGTTGGAAGAACTTAAGCAAAATTTTACTTGTGTGCGATATCAATGATATCGCTCTATAGTTTGAGCATTCCATTGGGTCACCTTTCTTTGATATGGGAACAAATATGGCTCTTTTCCAGTAAGTTGGCCAACAGGCTGTCTTCCAAATGTCCTAGCATGGATGAGTGAGTGCTTCTAGTGCTTTTTCAGCTTGCTGAAACATTTCAATTGGCATTCCATCAATTCCTGTAAACTTTTTTCCTGTAGACTTATTTTTAGCTAATGCATTCAGTGCAGTTTAAACTTCTTCCTCCAGCACCATTATTTCTTGCTCATATGCTACCTCCTGAAATGATGGACTGTCGACTTGTTCTTTGTGATAATGTGACTCTGTGTATTCTTTCCATCTTCTCTTGATGCTTCCTGCATCATTCACTATTTTGCTCATAGAATCTTTCAAAATTGCAACTCGAGGCTTTAATTTTTTTTTTCTTGAGTTCTTTCAGTTTCAAATAGGCGGCGTGTGCTCTTCACTTTCGGTTTTCTAGTTCTGGGTCTTTGCACATTTCATTATAATAGTTGTCTTTGTCCTCTCAATCTGCCCCTTGCATTTTCTATTCAGCTCTTGACTTCATCCACTCTTCCATTTGCTTTAGCTCCTCGTTGATTGAGAGCAAGTGTCAGAGTCTCTTATGCCGTCCACTTCTATCTTTTCTTTCTTTCCTGTCTTTTTAATGACCTTGTGCTTTCTTCATGAGTGATGCTCTTGATGTCCTCCCACAGCTCATCAGGTCTTCTGTCATTAGTGTTTAATTGGTCAAATCTGTTCTTGAGATGGCTCTCAAAATTAGGGTGTGATAGACTCAAGGTCATCTTTTGATTCTGTGGATTTGTTTTCATTTTCTTCAGCTTTATTTTGAACTTACCTGTAGATAATTGATGGTCTGTTACACAGTTGGCCCCTATTCTGATTTTAGCTGCTGAAATTGAGCTTCTCCACCGTGTTTTCCTGTAGATGCAGTCAATTTGATTTCTGTGTGTTCCATCTGGGTAAGTCCATGTATATAGAAACCTTTTGTGCTGTTGAAAAAGGTATGTGCTATGAACAAGTAATTGGATTTGCAAAATTCTACAATGTGATCTCCAGCTTCATTTCTGTCACCAAGTCCATAATTTCCAACTACTGTTCCTTCCTCTTTGTTTCCAACATTTGCATTCCAATCATCAATAACTATCATTGCATCTTGATTATGTTTGATCAATTTCTGACTGAAGTCATTGGTAGCATTCTTAAATTTCTTCATCACTAGCTTTTGTGTTTGGTGCATAACGTTGAATTATAGTTGTATTGATTGGATTCATTTGAAGGCAAATATATATAATCTGATCACAGATAGCATTGTACTTCATGATGGGTTTAGCACTATCCTTTCTGACAATGAATGCCATGCCATTCCTCTTGATTGGGTTATTCCTGGCATAGTAAATCATATGATTTTCTGATTCCAAATGGTCAACAGCCATCCATTTCAGCTCACAAATGTTTAGGATATCGATCTTCATGAGTTCCAGTTCATTTTGACCACTCCAAATTTTCTTAAACGCATACTTTGCACATTCCGATTTCCAATCATAAGACTTTTGCAGCTGTTTCTCTGTACCTTGAGTCATGCCCCATCAGCAAATGAAGGCCCTGAACACTCCATTCCCACAGGCTTTTCCATGGTCGATTCCCCTCCAAGAAATGAGCTCCTCTTCAATCACATTTTGAGTGCCCTCAGACCTCTGGCAGTATATCTGACAGGTGGTTTGCTTCCTTTGTTTAAGCTGTCAGTATTTGACCATGACTTGAAGCTCTGCATGAGGTTTTCAGTGGCTTCTTCCTCTGAAGTGGGAGCCAAGTCCTTCTTCGTTCTTTGAGCTTAGTCTGGAAGCTCTGCTGAAACCTGCTCACTTCTGGTGACTCTGCTGGCACTTGAAATACCAATGACACCGCTTCCAGGATCACAGAAACACAGACGCCACCACAATATGACAAACTGACAGACAAGTGGTGGGGAAGCCAGGTACCACTGCAGATTATTGAGGCTGGGATGTATGGGATTCGGGCCAGACAGGTCTGAGAAGGCAAATAGGAGTATATCCACTAATAAGCTTAATTTGAAAGGGAACATTTCTACATATGTACTTACTGGTATTTGGGCTGAAAATATATCCATGAATATAGTAAAGTATAAACCAAACTCAAAACCAACCCCACTGCTATCACATGGATTCTGAGTCATACTGACCCTATACAAGGTTTCCAAGTCTCTAAATCTTTATGGAAGCAGTTAGCATCACTTTCTCCAAGGGAGCACCTGGTAGGCTTGAAGCATCAACCTTGTGGTTAATGTAGTTCAGTACTTTTCGGGCCATGCCCCTGGGGCTCCTTACAGTAGAACATCGGAGGAGAAAACTTTTTAAAATTTCTTCGCCATAACTAATTACCTTGAAGGGACGAGTCACTGGGCTTGGAGGCTTAGGACCATAGTCTCAGGGGACACCAAGGTCAACTGGCATAACATGGTCCACAATGTTCTACATCCGACTTCGGTGAGTAGCAATTAGTGGTCTTAGCCTGTGAGTGGCCATTTAAGATGCAACATCAAGCCTGGAACTGAATTCACCTTCGTGGTTCAACTTTAAAACTTTAAAACAACCTGTAGACAGGCCTATAAGGTGAAAAATAACAGAGAGGCATGCATGCCATAGAACAATCAGCCAAATGAGCTCAAAAGAGCAGCATTTGTCCAGAGAGATAACTCAGAAGCAGGAAGGGATAGTTAAGAAGGATGAATGGAAACAGTAAACATAGACAGGAAGTGAAAAGAACCCTGTTACATTGTGGGGATTGCAATTAATGTCACAAAACAAAATGTATAGGTGTTGGTGAATGGAAAAGCAATTTGCTCTGTAAACTTTTACCCAAATCACAAAAGTTAAAAAGAAAAAGAAAAGTCAATGCATGGTAGTTATATTTACCTACACATTTCTATTCAAACACACTCTAATCAAATTCATTTTTTCCCTTGTGACATTAATAATTTATATCACAACCATTGCATCAAAAACATGTCAAATTTAAAATCAACACTATTCCAAAAGGTCATAGATCCCATAGGTCATCAGAATAAGGAGGTTGTCAGCTACAAAAGATTTTTTGATAATGTAGATAGTCTTCATTTCTTTAGGCGTTCCCTTGAATCCATGAACATACGTGCCTTAGACTGCAAAACAAGCAAAACAAGTATACATATTTCAAGAATGTCACATATATACATACACCAACAGGTTTGCATCAAGGAAATGACTCACACAATTGCAGAGACTGGTAATTTCCAAATCCGTGTGTTGGATGACAAACTGGAGGCTTCTTCTGACTCATATAACTGATGAATCCAAGATGGACAGACTAGATAGCTGGATTCTGGCTGCAGAGGCAAATGAATCCAAGGTTGACAGGTAAGATGGCAGGCTGCTGACAATTCTCAGCATCAGTGGGTAATACACCAGGCTGGTGGCTCAAGTCCAAAGAACTAGAGCTAAGATGGTGAGCCAGATGTAGAATCCAGACCCAACAAAAAGGAAGCAAACTCTTCCACAGCATCCACTTATACTGGAAGCAGACCACACCTCCAGATTTCATCATGGGAGAATTACTATGTCATAATAGCCAAACCACTGAGATTCCTGGCCCAGCCAAGTTGCCATTAAACCCTAACTATCACAACATCTGTCCATACACATACATTCATTGCAGCTATATTCATAACAGCCCCAAACTGGAAACTTCCCAGTGTTCTTCAGTGGGTAAATGGTTAAATAAGCTGTGAAACAATGGAATGCTGTTGTTCTTAGTTGCTGTTGGGTTGATTCTGGCTCATGGCTAGCCCAAGGATGACTAACAACGCAATAAAAAGGACTAGACTCTTGACACACATAACAATCTAGAGGAACCGCAAGAGGATTATGCTGAATGAGAAAGAAGCCAATCCTAACAAGTTAGATACTGTGTGATTCCATTTATAGGATATTCTTGAAATAATAACAAAATTAAAGGAGATTGGGGACATACTAGTAATTGCCAGGTGTTAGGGGATGAAAAGTTTGTAGTTAGGTATACCTAATGATCAAGCATCTTTATCTTGAATATAGTATTGCTTATATGAAGCTGCATATGATAAAACTGTATAGAACTATACATACACTTGTGAATGTATCTATAGTTGAAGCTATTTGAGTGAGAGAAGTGGAATGTCCCAGTTTCCTGGTTTTATTGTACAGTGATAACACTAGACAAGCAGGGTGAAAGGTACATTGCATCTCCCAGTATGTTTCCTTGGAACTTCCTGTGGATCTGAAGTTATTTCCAAATAAAAGTTACAAGACAGCAATAACAAAACTAGACGATACAATGATGACTGTACTCATCACCTGCTTGTACAAATACCAACTCATGGTCAACCTATTTGGATCCCGACTCACTCACCTCACCCAACCGATTCTGAAACAACCCCCAGGCTTCACATCATCTTACCGATAAATAGGTCAGAAAAGTAGGAATCTTATATCTTACACAGAACCATAGCTCAAGATTTAATTGTGGAGCCGTAGTCATTTAGTTCCTAGATATTTGGCTTTCTTAATCCATTAGGATTAATTACCACCATCAAGCTATAGTTATTTCTTATTTCCCTTTGGAGGTTTTCCTTTCTCTGCCTTCTTTCCCTTCTTATCGCTTGGAGAGGTCTTCCCTTTTTTTCGTGGTTTTTGTAGTTCTTCATATCTCCCCAGTCCTTTCCTTACCATCAGTCCACGCCACCATGCCTGGATCTGGAAACAAGACACACTCAGACTCAGCATCCGCGAGCAACCTGACGAGCCGCACAGAGCTCAATCTGCACGCTGCTATGTGCTCCTGAGTGTGCGAAGGAAGGCATGACGCTCCAAACCTTTTCTCCTGTCTTGCTTAGTCAACCATCATTCAAGGAAAGTTCTAAATAAAGCATCCTGCGTGTTTATGTGGCAGGTACCTCTGTAGACATGGCAGTAAAAAACTAATTTGCTGCCTTGTTATGGAGTTTGCCTTTCAGTGGAGGACGAGAGAATAAGTAATAAGCACACAAATATATAACCTGTCTGATGTGATAAATGCTATGGGGAATGAGAACGGAGTAAGGAGATCGAGTGTCTACACATCGCCTGCCCTCTTGGTACGGGTCTGTGTTCCTCTCTCCTCTCTCACTCACTCTGTAACATGCCTCCCACAATATCTTCCTCCCCTACCATCATCCCCCACAGCCCCCCTCTGCTGGCTCACTCTCAATTCATAGAAACATGCCATTATGTCTCCAGTCTTAGACACACACGTACACACACAGGTCCTGACCTATTTTTTCCTTATAGCAAAATCTCTCAAAGGCATTTGTCCACACTTGCAGTCTCCAGTTCTCCCCTAATTATCTCTTGAAGTTGTTGGGTGATACAAACTCTGAATTGTTTGATTGCTAACTAAAAGAGGTGCCTCAGATGAAACACCTGGCAATCCATTTGCATAAAGATTACCTACTGTCATCAAGTTAATGTTGACTCAGAGTGACCCTGATGGGTTTCCTGGACTGTAGATCATTACAGAAGCAGACAGCCTCATTTTTCTCCTAAGGAGCAGCTAGTTGGTTTGAACTGCTGACCTCAGAATTAACAGCTCAATGCTTACTTCACAGCACCACCAGGGAAAACTCCATGGAACAGTTCTACTTTGCATGAGTTGAAATCCATTCAATAGCGCTGGTATGGCTTTAAAAGTTGTCCATTAAATGCTGCACTACTCTAACAAAAACTTTTCATCCAAAGTCCCTGATGTCTCCAGGTTGCTAAAATCCACTGGTCAGTTCTCAGGCCTCGCGTAATCCACTTGTTTCAAACAGTTGCCCATTCTCTCCTCCTTGAAGCTTTGTTCTTGTCTCCCAGGACACCCCACTCTCTTGATACTTCTTCACTTCAATGGCATGCCTTTCTCAGTGCCCTTCTCGAGTCTCTACGCCTCCATGTTGCCACGCCAGGGACTCTCCCAGGCCCAGGGCCCCCACGCTGCACTTACTCCCTTGGTGTTCTTAGTCTTGTAGCTATGTATCTGTTTAGAGAAGATTGTGTCTCCATTCTTGCTCCCTCTCCTGACTCATATCCAGCAACAGTTGAGCATGTCCACTTGAGAGATCTAAGGGGTATCTCAAACTTAAGACATTCCTTCTGGTCTCCCCTCCCACTCCCCAATTTCTCCATCTCGGTTTCTGGCAACTTAATTCTTCCAGTTGTTCACGTAAAATACCTTGAAGTCAACCTTGATTGCTCTCTTTTGCTAATATCCCCCATCCTGTCCTTCAGAAGATGCATTGGCTTAACTTAAAAGATATACCCAGAATCAGATCACTCCCACCCCATGTAATTTTTTTTAATTGTGACAAAAATATACATGAAAAAACATTCTCCAGTTCAACAACTTCTACATGACAAATTCAGTGTTACTGATTATATGCTTAATGTTGTACAAGCATTATTGATATTCTTTTCCAAGTTATTCCCCACCATTAACATCAACTTAATCTCCCCTAAGCAAAATGTCTTCCTCTCTCACCCATGGTAACCACTGGTCAAGTCTGATCTTTTTTTATTATTATTTAAGTAGTTTTCTTGATTTAATATTCACATATCATATACTTAGATAGTTAAATCACTTTTTAAAAAGAATTTCATATATCGTCACAATCAATTTGAATGCTCCCCCCCCCTCCTGGATTTATTGTTTGCTCCCCAAATCTCCCCTCCTGTCCCCAAAAAACCACTGCATCAGTTATTATTTCTATGCATCCACTCCTCCTGTGCTTCACAAAATGGGAAACCCAACAGAAACAATAAAAAACAAAAACAAAATGAAAAAGAAGAAAACAATCATCATCATGTAAAGATAAAAATAAAAATAAGAGGACAAAAAACAACCAACAATATTTTAAAAGCCAAAGAAGAAATTTCTGTCATGGAACAAGCGAGAAAAAATATTTGAACCTATAGCAAGTTCAGGTTGGGTCAAGAGAGAGGTCAACTGACCAAGTATCATATTATATCATGTTTATATAAACACCATAAACAAGTTTACTCTGATAGTAAAGCCTCACCTGTGGCTAAAGGGGACCTATCAGAGGCTTAATCTGACAAGATACTCTGCAGATGGGTTTGGGGCTCCCACTGTCCTCCATAGACTTCTACAAATTGGATGTTCACAATTTAAGTTCTGATACTTTTCCCTTCATCATATTTGGAATTTGTTATTGTCAAATTTGAATCACATAGGTTATTGTGATTTTTCGATGTGGACTTAGTTGACACCTCACTTAGATGGTTGCTTGTTTGAACACAAGCCTTTAAGACCCAGACACTATTCCAGTTGATAGCCCGGCACCATCTGCTTTCTTCTTTGCTGTAGCATCCTTATGTTCAGTTGTCTCTTCATGAAACTGAGTGTCAAGCAGAGTCATGTATAAGAACAAACTGTTCTTGGATTGGGGCTAGCATTACATGGGAGCCCAGAATCCATCTGCCAGATCACTTCTTACAACTGTCCCTGCTAGAAGTATTCCAAACACCATCTTGTCTTCTTTTATAATTACTTTATTTGTTGGCCACACTACATGATCACCTGAATAATCTTTTAGAAACCTAGAGCAGAGGCCAGAAGAACTAGATGGTGCTTTGCTCTCACTACTAACTACTCTGGGGAAAATTCACAGTGAAAGATCCTACAGAGTGGAGAGAAATGTACAACAGAATTCAGAATCCTAAGCCAAGACCAGACAGATCGGACCCCCAAGGTTACAACCCTTAGTCACTCTTCAGGTCTGGAACAGAACTAACCCCGGATCAGAATAATCAGCCTTTCAAGATCAAAAGGATGACATCGACCCAAGGGCAGGGTATTAGGAGAGGAGGAGGGATGGAAACAGAAAATACGGGAGAAAGCAGGATAATTCAGAGTACAATGAGGGGATTTAAATGAATCCGTTTAAATAAAATGTGGATAAATTGTTGACTGTAAAATGGATGATCTGCTCGGCCCACTTTCACCTAAATCACAATAAAGTTATTTAAAATATAAATAAATAAAAAACAGATACTAGTGTTTTTCTTAGAACCTCCCAATGGAGGTTCTAAGAATAAAAACCAAAATCCTTAACAAAAACCAAAATCCTTACAACGACTTACAGGGCCCTTCCATCGCCACCTCTCTGCTCCATTTCCTAACTGCTCTACCCCCTTGCTCCTTCTGCTCCACAAACCAGGCATCATCCCAGCTCAGGGCCTCCTTCTCTGCTTCCTGTGGGGGATACTCTTCTCAAGACTCACTGCCTCCACCCCTTGCCGGGGTGGGTTCGTTTCAGTTGTCATCTGCTCAGCAGAGGTCAAACTGAGCATCCAGTGAAAGTGAAAATCCCCACCCCTACTTCCAGAAAGCTCAGCTCCTCTTAGCTTGAGCCCATGACACTCAATCACTTTCTAATCCATTATACAATCCTGCGTTCCGTAGTTCACATTGTTTATTCACCTTCCACTAGGATCTTCGGCAAGGTGAGGGCAGAAAGGCGTCTGCTTTGTTCCTGGATGTATCTCCAGTACCTAGAACAGTGCCTGGTGCGTAGAAGCAGCTCAACACAATTTGTTGAATAAATGACTGAGTGAGGTGGGACGGGCCAATGAAGGAATCACTGGTGAGATGACAGACCAAAGATGACAAAAATATTTACACAACTTAAATCAAAATAAAAAGATACAACATTAAGATAAACTCAGGGTAAATATATAAGTAGGGTGTAAGTATGTAAGCAGTATGTAAATATATATTCAAGAACAAAAGGAATGAGATAAAATTCCAGCCTGTATAGAACTTATTTGGAGATTAATCTTAACTGATGTATATCAAACTATAATGTATTTAGATTCTCTGGGATACATTCAAAATATTAGTCTATCAGGTGTATTTTAAAATTTCAGTCTTTAAAACCCACTGGGATTTATAGCCTTCCTTCACAGTGAGTCACACTTTTACCAAATAAAAAAACCAAGCCAGCTGCCTTTAAGGGGGTTCATGGGATCCTGACTTACAGCGAGCGACCGAAACAGTGTTTCTGAGACTACATCTCAGCGGGGCCAATTGCCTCATTTTCATCCCATGGAACAGCCTCAATGAAATACCCATTTAACAATGTGATGTGCAAGGAAGCATGTGGTTTTTCCAAATACTTTTAGGAAGAACATAATTTAAAGTGTAGTTTTCACTTTTCCAGATTATTCTTGACTATACGAGGTGGTACCACCACCCCCAACCCCCACCAGAGGAAAAAAACCAGGGTTTTTAAAAAAGAACTATGTATTTAAGTTTTTGTACAAAACAACCTTATCACCTTCAAAGTACTCTCCATTACACTTAATACATTTGTCAAATCTGCGATTCCATTCTTGGAAACAATTTTCAAACTCGTCTCTCTGGATGGCTGACAGCACCTCCCTCATATTTTCTTCACTTACACATCGTCAAATCGCTGTCCTTTCATGTCCCTCTTCGTTCACAGGAACAAAAAAAAGTCACAAGGAGAGAGGTCAGGTGAGTCAGGTGTCTGGGGCAAGAGAAGCATGCTGGTTTTTGCTCAGAACTGGTGCGCTGAGCAGATGCATTGTGTGGTGGAAAAATCAGTCCCCTGTCTGCCACAGATCAGACCTTTTCGGTCACAAACTGTTATGAAATCTTTTCAGAATTTTTAAATAGAAAGCTTGATTAACAGTCTGACCTGGCAGAACAAACTCCAAATGCACTATCTTACCCCTCAATTAAAAAAAAAATAGGATCATCATGATCTTTGATTTCACTAGACAAGCTTTTGGGAGGCAAGGTGACGATGACATCTTCCACTGGCTTGACTGATGTCTGCTTTCAGGTCCTAAGAACAGCACTACGTCTTGTCAATAGTAATGACCTTGGGGAAAGTGGGTCGCTTCGGGGCTCCTCTTTCAAAGCACAGCTTGTTCCCACTCAACACTCTTTTTTTCCTGGTCAGTCAGAACCCGAGGCACACATTTTGCAGCGACCCTTCTCATTCCCAAATCTTCCATTAAAATTCGCTGAACTGAGCTCCAAGATAGTCCAGATGACTTCCCCATCTCTTCAATGGTCCATCGTCATCAGTCTGCAAGCTCAAGTGCACAAATTTGGTCGACATTTCCATCCTTCGGGGAAGTTGACGGACGTCCAGAACAAGATTTGTCATCAATCAACATTTCACCTTTTTTGAAATGAGAAAATTACCCACACACTTGAGTTTTCCCACAGTGCCTTCTTTGTATGATGTGTCTAACATCCCAACAGTTTCTGTGGCATTTTTCCAGAGCTGGAAGCAAAATTTCATAGCCACACGCTGTTCCCTTAAATCAGCCATCACAAAAAATGAGGTTTGAGTGGAACTTCTTTTATGAAAAACTTCATAGTGACCAGCGAGAACCTTCCTAGGCAACATTACTGAGTGCACTAACTCAGACCGAGTTGCAGGATGCTCACCTAGCGGGAAAAGGGCGTACTACGAAAGCTTCCGGCAGTGGGACAGTTTTCTGTTTCAGCGGGAGGTACCTCCTCATTTACATATTTAAGTAAATATTGTAACATTACTTACTCTCTTTTTATTCCTTATGTATGTTGCATTTCAGGTATTGTTTTGTTTTCTCAAAATTATGCACTTTGGTCAGTTACAGATAAGTGAGTTTCACTGCAAAGAGTGGGGAAGTATAACATATTATTTAAAAAGGGATAGCATGAAAGCCCATTGGTAGGGCCTTATACAGAACAAACTTTGTCTTTTGTCCCAGGGGAAAGGAAGAATGTTGGATTGCAGCAGAAGAGTGGCAGGATCAGAACGATGTTTCCAGAACCTCAGTCTGATTGCAGACTGGAAGGTAGATTGTGGTGGAACATGGTGGGAGTGGAGGCATGATTTAGGGGACCGATGTCGTTATCTGAATGAGAGGTGATGGGACCTGTCCCAGTTGAAGAATAAAGAATGTTGACTGAGGTGGGTCTATGACTGAGCTGTCTGGGACAGCCTCTTGTCTCCCTGGACTTAACCAATGAGCCAAGGGTAGTCCATCAGCTATCAGCAAGGAAGCCTTGCCACAAGGCTCTTAACCGGTGGATCCTAGACCCTGGTGTCTAGATCCTGTCCCAGTAGGCGAGTGAGAATTGACTTGATGGAAGCGGTCAACGAGTTTCTCTTATTGTGAATGTGTATCCTTTTCATTCCAGTGAATGGTCCGAGAATTTCAGATTGCTTCGGGCTTTGAGTTATGTTTTCTCTTTCCTGAGTTGTTGGCTTCTTATCTGACAAAGAGGTAAGGGGCACAAAAGAGAAAAGCAGGAGGGCTAATGTGTGTACGACTCTCGCACGTAGCCCTAGGGATATGAAGGTAAGTAAGAGTCTGTTCTCAAGAGGAGCACCTGGCAGGTGTAAACAGTTACCACCATCTGCTGCTAACCGAAAGGTAGGAGGTTCATGTCCATCCTAAGGCACCTTGAAGGAAAGGTCTGGCAGTGCACGTCTACAAAGATCAGCCATTGAAAACCGCATGGGGCAAAGGTTTACTCTGACACACCTGGGCTTGTCATGAGGCAGGATCAACTCCATGGCAACTAGTTTGACTTTTCAGCCTCTTTTCTCTTTTTATCTGTATGTGGTTAGTTCCTCATTTTATTATTATTATTATTGGGAGATCATACATACATCATATCATTCCAGAGTTCAATCACAGCAAGCAGTATTGTGCCATTGTGACTACAATCAATTTCCAAACATTCTTTTCCTTCCTGGACTTCTTGGCATTGGCTCCCTTTACCATGCTCCCCCACCGCACCCCATCACTTTACACAAACACACACACACACCAGAAACCCTTATTCTTCTTGCTGTCCCTATAGGTTCATCAATCGTGGATTTCATCTACTGAAAGTCAGAAAGACATATAACACAAA